AATAAAGAAAAATATTACTTAATTAAGGGAATTATTAGTTGATCCAATACCAAATTCTCAGAACTAAGATCATAAGAATTGTTTGACAGACAGCAAGGAGAATTCCTCATGAGATATTGGGATTGAAAGGGTTAGGTTCACCATTAAATGTTGATATTTATTATCAAGAGGCAACTTAAAACAAATGTCTACGAACCTTTCACTTCCAAATATAAACAGAATTAAAATTCTAAATTGCAATAACACTTTACACCTTGATACCTGTATGCAAATTCTCTCTACTGTTCTCTTCACATTTCTTAAAGTGCTGACAAGGAGAATTTGTTAGACAATCAAGAGGTTCTTTATTAGTGATCATTATCTTTATTCTCCTGACATTAATGTTTGATTCAGGGCTGATATTGTAAGAAGAGATTAGATGCTAGTTTCTCTTATAAGTCAAAGGGTTAAAGATTCTTACAGAGAAGCAATAATAATAATAATAATAATAATTTACCAATTTATATAGCGCATATTTACATGTGCTGATCAATAGGACTTATTACATGTTGTTGTTAAGGTTAAGATCGGACGCCAGCATTTATCAGTGAGAACTAAGAAAAAATTATCAACTAGTTTGTAGGGGATAAATACAATACAAAATTCTCAGGGTTGACTAATAAAGAAACAAATTGTCATCACTTAAGAGAATTAGCTCTATGGTAATATGAGAATAAAGCATTTTAAGTATACAGGTCAAATATGGCAACTTTTACCTGATTCAGATATTTGAGGTTCCCATATGAGTAGATTAAATCTCCCTGTTTGGTCAAGACAATCACACCATCAAGAATGGTGTCAACAAACAGATGTTCTGTAGATGTATATTATGTATAAATGGGAAATGAGACAATGTTTAGTATTCACGGATGGTGCTCTGGTTTAATTCTGATCCTTAGAGAGGGACTTCTATGGATCAACCCAGCTGTGCAGCCGGGGCTTGAAGTAAAACTATGTTCAGGAGCATTTTTCAACACCAATCCAGACTGGATACCATTAACTTGCACTTTAAACAGTATTTCATGCATCAATTCTTAAAGCGAAAAGTTCAACACGTGTCACTCATAAATTTTGGGCTTTATCCCGCATCACGTACAAACCCTCTTCCCACCCTCGTATAGTGTCTTGTCTGGATTGCTGGTCCTAGCAATATGCGGGATGTCTGTCATATATGATGAACCTATTTATGGCTAGGGTCTGCTTGCAAAACATGTAGCTCCCTAACTGTAAATCAGAAAGAGCTAGAGCACTGCTGACACAACCATTTGGCTATGGTACCTATAAATACTCTGTTTCGTAGCATCTAAAACAAAGTTGTGGGGGGTCCGATGCAGGAAAAGTGTTTTAGCTCTTAAGCGAAGTCTTGAAAGATGTTTCATCCACGTTACCATACCTTTGTGTCAATATAACAAAAATTGTAAACAGCGAACTTCAACATGAAACAAATACCTGTGACGAACTCATTCCAGTTCTCCTCTGATTGCATCCATTAACCTCTTCTTTCTTGGCCTTACTATGCCTATGTTATTTAGTATAACAAATATTATCATGTTATAAGAAGAAAACACAAGGTTATGGTTTTATCGACAGGCATTCCTATCACATTGGTTACCAGTCTCTTTCGGAACATTTCCCATCTTCTCGTAGCCGAACGGGAGCCGAAAGCAGGTGTATTTAGACGGTATTCCAAAAAAGTGACATTTCAGCCGTCAGTTACCCTTTAAGAAGGTCGGAAAAATAATAAGTGCTACGTTATTTGAAGATTTTATGATCATAATGCTAATAATGGCCCAATCATTTCAAAGGCTTTCGAAATGTTTATCTGTTTTTCTTTTTTCAAAGTATCGCACCGTGCAAAGTTAGGGATATTAATGAGGGGAATTTCCCTTTCATCACGCCCCAAGAACAATAGATTCTTGATGTTTCCTTGGTCGATGGCTAACCTCGGTCGTCTTCCTAACACTGAGAGCAAGTTTCAGAATGGACTTCGAGTTGCAATTGCGGATTTCGTTTATATTTAATTCACGGTAATCAGCCTCATTGTGCGCCGCCAAGACTTATGACATTTTAACTTGAATTTCAAGGTAGGTACATAACAGTTTTCCATCTGCTTAACAAGACTAACCACCATATCGATGAAGGTGTGTGATAAACGTTTGTTGCGCAAGCAGCATTTTTCTCGACATGAAAACAAACATGATCGGTACATCTTGTTGTTTGCTGATCGATGTCCCTCGTTAGTCACTGGGACCTGAGAGATATTGTGTGCTTTTAAAAACATTCTAAGAAGAAAAGAGTGAGAAAGAGAAAATTACTCATTGCAGACATTGAAAAAATTGTTTCAACCTTTTCGCGTAGCTCACAAAATATCTTTCTAAGTTAAAGTTAAACTAGAGTCAAGGGGTCGCAAGAATGAGCTTTTAAGACTAAGGAAATTGTGATGCGCAGTTTTTCAAAATCTTTTAGCAGCCAAAAATTTTTCATTTTTCTTCGTTACTGCGTCATGCACTTTCGATTTCTACCAAAATAATGGCCACCACAGCGTTTATGTAAATTTTGTTCCGCTTCAGCTTCAGACTTATTTATTTTAGCTTTACGTCATAGATTGGTCACGTGAGTAAGTAAGTAAGTAAATAAAGCTTTATTCACACAGGGTAGCCCATTCAGCTCTAAGGCTGGTATCCATAGGGGCCCTGTTTCTTAAAAATAATTTACATCAAGATTTTCAATTTTATATATATATGACTGGAATTTTAAAACTACATTTACAGCCTAAAACTACAAAGCCAAAACACAATTAAGACCTAAAATAGTAGATAAAATATGAAAGTAAGATAAAAAGAAATGTCTTGCTTGGCGGCAGAATGTTTGAATGTTTTCACTCTTCACAATGTTTAAAGGAAGTTTATGTAAAATTTCTGCGCCAGTAAAAACAAAAGTCCTTTTCCCAAAATTTTGTTTTACTTTTGGTAGGGATAGCCTCATACTTTGCCTTGTGGAATAGTTGTGAATATTCGAAAATCTGGTGAAATATGATGAAAAGTAACTAGGACCTAATGAGTGAAGACAGAGAAAAACAAGTTTAGCCTTGTGGTGATAGCGTCTACTATAAAGATTCGGCCACTGCAGCTGCTCTATTGCTTCAGATGAGCGAGAGCAACGTGTAATAATCCGTGCAGATCTATTTTGTAAGCGCTGTAGTCGATCTAGATCTTGCTGTAGAAGGTTACTCCAGGCAATGTCACAGTAATCAAATAAGGGAAGAATTAAAGCATTAAGAACAAGTGTTGCTGCCTCTTTTGTGACGAAACTTCTAATACGGCCCAGAATACTAACTCTTGACGCCACCTTTTTACACACATAGTCCACGTGAGCCTTCCAAATCCTAAAATTGTCGAACACCACGCCTAGGTATTTGAAAGTAGTTTCGCAAGATATGGACTTTCCGGGAAGATTTAGATTTAAAATACAATCACGCTCTTTTTATGCCTTCGAGATGTAAATAGCACTCACTTAGGTTTTGAAACATTGAGAACAAGATTGTTGTCTTCTATCCATTCAGATAGACATTCAAGATCTTGGTTAATGTAAAAAGTTAAATTGTCCACTGTTTGGCCAGCAAGATATAAAACTGTGTCGTCGATATAAAACTGTGTACATTGTCGAACACCACGCCTAGGTACTTGAAAGTAGTTTCGCAAGATATGGACTTTCCGTGAAGATTTAGATTTAAAATACAATCGCGCTCTTTATGCCTTCGAGATGTAAATAGCACTCACTTAGGTTTTGAAACATTGAGAACAAGATTGTTGTCTTCTAGCCATTCAGATAGACATTGAAGATCTTGGTTAATGTAGAAAGTTAAATTGTCTACAGTTTGGCCAGCAAGATATAAAACTGTGTCGTCGATATAAAACTGTGTACATTGTCGAACACCACGCCTAGGTATTTGAAAGTAGTTTCGCAAGATAAGGACTTTCCGAGAAGATTAAGATTTAAAATACAATACAATTATACCTAGGCGTGGTGTTCGTCAGTGTACATATTTACAGAACAGTGTTTGACACAAAGTGGTAAATCATTAATGTAGACAATGAATAACAGGGGACCAAGGATGGACCCTTGCGGCACCCCACAAGTTATGGCAAGCTCTTCAGATGATTGAGAATCAATATGCACGAGCTGCTTTCTTCCCGTGAAGTAGTTCTTAAACCATGGAAGGCTTTCGTCACATATATCATAATACTCTAATTTTCTAAGCAAAATTTCATGGTCAACTGTGTCGAAAGCCTTTGCCAGGTCAATAAACATAGAACCAGCGACTAAGCCCTTATCCATATTCATGAGAATCTCGTCGGTGAAATAAGTTACAGCCGTCCCAGTTGAGTGCATTCTTCTAAAACCGGATTGTAATTTACAGAGCAAGTTATGATCGTCAAAAAAACTTGCAAGTTGCTTGTGGATTAAACGTTCTAGGACTTTAGATACCACTGGTAATACGGATATGAGGCGGTAGTTTCTAGGGTCAAGTTATGCAGAAGGATCACCTTCGCTTTTTTCCACTCTGCAGGGCTAACGTTTTGTTGGATAGTTAAATCAAAAATGACCGACAAGGGAGAAGCCAGGGCGTATGATCCGTCTTTCAGTAGACGAGATGGAATACCATCAACA